TGAACGAAAAGGGGAATAATTGAATGCCCTCGTTGGATTAAATTAATAAATCTCAAAGTGTGTGTTTCAGAAAAAAAAATTCTAGATATTTACCAACACTTGTAACAAAGAGTGACACTTTAAATGCATGAAAATTTTAAAATGCCTTCACAGAGGTTTTCTGAAGTAATTATAAAACCCTGGGGCCATTTGGGTCAACAGTAAAAGAGGCAAATAATGAGCAAAAACAAGAAATATGGATAAAAATTGGGATTTAAAAAGGTGATATCTCTCTTCGTCTCTTTACCTGTTTAAATCTCTGGACAAATACCTATTTCAAAGTTTTAGCTTTGTTGCTTGTTTGTCTGTCATTCAGCCTTAAGCGTCAAATAAATGAAATGGCATTTTATAAACGGCATGACTCACTTCAAAATTCACTCCACTGTCCTTGAGAAATATTAGTGAATGTTCTGAAATAGAAGCCCTCCCTTTTTTCTATTTAAAAAAGAATCCATATAAACCTGTTTTGTTTTTTTTTTCCTTGCCACTCATACACTTTTTCCCCTTGTTATTTAACATAGAGTCAGTTAAAGTGGCTTAAGCATCTGATGAAGATAGGAGGATTACCTTTGAAGATTATCAGTGGGTAACTCAGGATAAACTGCTGGTCTGGGTTTAATAGGAAGAGGAATGTTTGGGTTTAACCTTCTGGAACTTTTATCTGTTGACTCAATATAACATTCTTAAGAATTGTAGATGTAAAGAAAGTTTGGTCTTCTAAGAATACATCATAGATTTAAAGTACACACTCCAAATGTTCTCTGCTGATTGTAGCTGCATGAGGTCTGCCCCCCTTTGGCATTGCTATGGAACCCTGCTTAGGCTGTACTCTAATCAGCGCAGCCTGACTTACAAGGTTTAAAAGCCAACATCCAACAGGGAGCCATGTGTTGGATAAAGTGGACAGGATTCATTTACACTGTATGCTTTCAAAAAAGCCATAGGAAGACACCGGGTTGCTGTGCAGGGTGACTGGCTTTACTCTGTACTAACTGCTCATGCAGAGACAGCAGCTGTTCTGTCTGCTTCTAAGCTTATTGGCCATCAAAAGATGGGAAAGGTTAAAACCATCAGGGTTAAATACTAAGCCTGAAGTACAAAGTTTCTTTATTTTATTTTTTACATTTTTTATTTATATTAACCTGTGAATGTTTAAACAACACTTTAACCAATCAAATGTTTTCCACAGTTTTCATTGTTTTTAATAGGACTTTGTGCAAAAAAAAAAAGTTGCACATTACAGTAAAGCTAACAGAAAAGCCCCACAGATGAAAAAATCAGTAAAAAAAATTGAAAATCTAGAGGTTTGATGTATTTTTATGTTCTAGCACTAAGAGTCAAAATTCTGTAGAACAACCTTTCACTGTAAAACAGCTGCATGATATCCCAATAACACATGATGAGACATATTTCTTTTTAGCACTTCTGCCATATGAAATGCTCACATACATTTATACAACAAATAGTTATTTGGGCTTAGATCTGGACTTCAATTGAGTGATTTCCAAAATATCATAGCAATGTGTTTACTTTGATATTAACAAACCTCTAACAGGTGTTCTGAATGGAAAGTCATACATTTAGCAACATTCAGCTTCCCTTTTCCATCTAAATGAACACATCTCCCAAGCACACTGCTGCCAAAACCATGTATTACTGTCTAATCCTAAAGGTTTAATTTTGGTCTTCTCTAACCAAATGCATTTATGATATGTCTCATAAATAGCATGTAGTAAAGCAAAAAAAATGCTTGCTTTTAAAAAATTGAACGTCCCAATTATGTTCTAAGTTATGGTGGCCCATCACATTAAATGGAAAATAAAATCTGTGATCTGTGTCATTGTAGAATGTTAAAGTAAGAATATATTCAAGGGTAAGGATACTTTTGGGTCCCTCTTTAAAGGTGTGTATGGTCTAAGAGAAGATGATCATATCTCTATATATACAAACTTAATTCTTTATCACTTTAACCTTGGAGGTTGTCTCACAAAAACTTTGTTTTCCCTGTTTAAATATACAAACACCCACATGGATAATTTAAAAATTCTGTTGCTAAGTGATGAATCATAATCGAATGAATCATCCTAGTTCTTTTAATTTGAGTTTATGTGCTTCCAAAAAATTTTAAAATGCAGAAATATCAAAGCTATAATTGTTAACTGGATGAAACGTCTAAGACGACTGCCTAAAGGCCCAGTTGTCCGCTACTTCACCCCAGAGGATGTTATTAGAAGCAGTGCTTTGTATCCTTCCAAAGTGGTGGTAAGAATGTGAATTTATTCCAACCTAGTTCCCCTTGTCTAACCGCCTGGGACCACCTCACAGGGAGTACAGCATCTCTACTCATGGGGAAAGAAGCTTGACTGCTGCGTTGCAAACCATGACTGCAGTGAACTGAGCTTTACTCTTTCTACTGACCACGTCAGTCCGTGCCTCCAGTGATGATGCTTTTATTCCTAATGGTTGAGCATCTCTCTGTGTCTTTCCTCATGAAAATGCAATATTACTGTGCTGAAAACTTTTTTTTTTTTACCTCTACTTTGATGTAGCTAAATAAAAGGCATTATGGTATATCCAGTTAAGTTAGGATATTACGTAATAGAAAAAACAATACACCTTATTCTCGGTGTAAAATAAATGCAAGTACATTCTTAGACATTTGTTAGAGACATACTTATGAATGAAAGCATTCATGAAGACATAAAAGAAAAGAGATCTTCCTGGTTAAATAAAATAAAAGAAAACACAGATTTTTAAAGAAAATTAGAATTAAAGCATCTCAGAGGCAAGTGGTAACCCCATTTGTAGTTTTCCAAAAGCAGCTGTTCAGACCCCAAATCCTCACTCTACAGTGTTCAGCATGGTTTGGCTGTGTTCCTGTCCCATACCTGACGGAAACAGTGATATTAGCAGGTGCATGGAGGTAAGAAAACACCTAAAGCATTAAAAAGTCTGCCCTGAAACCCATGAACATGGACCAAAGAAGTAAAATGGAGCACTGCAGACATTGGAAAAAAAGTGCAACAGTCACATGAGACCAGGTTCTTACTTTATGGTCAAAATGCAAACTAAGTGAATGTATTATTATGTTGGAGATCGGCCTGTTTTCCAGTGTGGTCCTGTGACTGCATGGGTGGATGTGCTCTCTTTGTCCTCTGGCATGGGAGCTGGCTCGGAGCTCGTCTGCCTGGCTGTGTGTTTCCTGGACGGGGCCGCCTTTTACAGCTGCTTTTTGTGTCTCTGCTTTAGTCTCCTTGAACCCCAATCGGCCTCGGCAGATGGCCGCTCACACTGAGCCTGGTTCTGCTGGAGGTTTCTTCCTGTTAAAAGGGAGTTTTTCCTCTCCACTGTCGCTACAAGCATGCTTAGTGTGAGGGATTGTATTTGAGTCAATGAGTCAATGCAATCAACTGGTTTTCCTTAGATAGAAAACTTTGTATCAATTTGACTGTATGATCTGGTTGAACTGTAAAGTGCCTTGAGATGACATGTGTTGTGAATTTGGCGCTATATAAATAAACTGAATTGAATTGAAAATTATGGCTAAACCCCTCAGTGTACCAACTCATGGTATGGCCATGGCAGTATCCTCCTGTGGGGATACTCTTTTTCAGCCGAACAGAGGTTGCTAAGAGTTGATGGTAAGATGTGTTGAGCAAAAAAAATATTTAAATAAATATTTAGAAATAGGGACAGTAAATGCATGCCACATTATTTGTAATATGTATATATATATTATATGTAACCCTTATACACCATGCATTTATTACATCCTTACAAATGTGTGCTACTTTGTGGCAATATATCACTTCAAGTCTTAATAAAATACATTGTTTGTTGTTTCAAGGTGAGGAAATGTGTTAAAGTTAACAAATACATTTCGCACGGGATTCCAAACCAAGTGGCTCCACCTTAACAAGTGAAACTTTATGATATTAATGACTGTATCAGACAGGCTATCATGTATTTCTGTCATTAAAAATAAAGGAGTATGCTTTGTTAGCTTTGTAGTGAACAATAATTTCACCCTCCAGCTTATTAAACTTTTAATATTAATTCCAAATGAACAGAATTTGTTTCAAATAATGCAATTTTGAAACATGATATATTTAAAAGCCCGACTTTTGACCCTTTACTGCAGCCTTTCTTCTAGCTATGCAAAACTTGTTCAAGATTAAGGGGATTTTTTTTATTTACAGATGTATGACTTCAAGAGGCAACATTTGACCCAAACAATTTGTTTGAAATCCAGGAAGGCAATAATCTAAAAAATTTAAATCCAGTTTTTTGCATTGATCTTTTTTTACCTTTTCAATGCTTTATTTTGATTTACTTTAGAAGTTGGCCCAACAGTTGCTCTATAAAAATTTGATAAAACGCAGATGGATTCAAGAATTTAATATCAGATTTAACCAATAGTTGGCAGCCTTGCGCTGCTGAATGTCCCCCAGATGTGCAGGGCTTTTTCTATAATAATTCAACCCTCATTATTTACCTCAAGAAATTGGATCAGACTAAGCTATATTTACATTTGCAAGTATTCCTCTCACATCAATTTATATATTTTATTTATTACTATAAATTAAATAAATATCAGGACAGCAAACAAAGAGATAGAGCAAAAAAAAAAAAAAAAAAAAGTTAGTAGTTTTTATTTCATGAGCTGCATCTCAAAAGAAAAACCAAAAACATTGGATAAAGAGTAGAACTCCACTTCTTTCATTCAGGTTTCTGTTTTTCCCAGCCGTGTATTCGTGTACGTGTGCATATGTAAGCGGAAGAGATGGCAGACCGGAGCAGGAGGGGTAGGTACAGGACTTAGAGCCACTCCTCCAGCAGGGCCACCGTGCGCCGCTGTTCCAATGGAAACAGGTGGGACTCCCGGACTCTCCAATCAAACCCTCCCTACGCTGCGGAGCAGGGAGGAGGGAGCAGAAGTCCACAACCGGAGGCAGGACACGACCAACTTCCACACTGAGCTCAGGAAAAGTCGGGAAAACGCATCTGACGCTGCGTGCCTTGGCCTGCATGTGTTCCCAAAGCGTTTCCTGCAGTTTACCGGCGCGCTGCTCAAGTTCTCCCTGCCGGTTTGGCTGCAGTTGGAGCGGCGTCTGTGCGTCGCTGCGCTCGGGACGCATAGCTGCTATGGAAAACACGCACTGAGCGCATTTTCGGATTGTTCTCTGCTTGGATGTTTTTCCACTCTGCTTGTCTTCAATTCCTGGGTGTTTCCTATAGTGAGGATATTTAAGCATTAGGAAAAATGCCTGGGAAAACCAAATACAACCTGGTTGATGATGGACACGATCTGAGGATCCCGTTGCACAACGAGGAAGCATTCCAGCATGGGATCAACTTCGAGGCAAAGGTGAATTTTCTCAACTCTTTCAAAGTGAAACAGGCATTGCTCACAATCGTATTGAGTTAAAATATAGTTAAAACATGAACAACTGATGATCGAAAGCACATTTGAAGACTTTTTGAATCCAGATCCTCAGAGATTTAGCTGCAAAGGGAAGTAATCCATGAGTTTAAAACAGGGGCCAAAATTATGAGCAGTGAAGTAATGAATGCAAATAATGTCAAATGTTTAGGGGAGGTAGACAATAATTGTGATGTCATTAACGGAGCTTTTGTACCTGTCATGTTTCACCTTCATGCGGCAGTATATTGGCAGTTTGGATGTGACGCGGCCAAACAGCAGAGTGGAGATTGTTGCTGCCATGAGACGGATCCGGGTGAGTGTTGTTGACACCGGAAAACAGCTCAGGTTCATTCAGAGATTCAGAAAGTTAGTGCTGCTCAGATACTTTGTGTCCGATCAGACTGGGAACTTTATAGAAAATAACCTTTAATTCCTGTAGGTTTGGTTTATTATGTGTTTTCAATTACAGTTTTAATTAATTGATTTAATTACAGATATTTTTGGCTCTTTTTAAGGTTGCAGGAAATTTCTACCTTTATCACCAAACTTTATACCTACTCCCTATAACAGTGAAGATATTTATTTCTATCCCTTTTAGTAGAAATTAATTAACCTATAATTTCATGCTTAATATTTTGGTTACTCTTTAAATCTGACCGGAGCATCTGATATTAGTATGTGTACTTTAAATTTTTATTTTTTTTTATTATTTCCTGTTTATTTATTGATGTTTGACATTTCAGATACAGATCTAAACTGAGTGACTTAATAAAAAAAATTTAGTAGATCAGGACTGCGGACAATTCCAGTTTGTTGATTGTTTCATTGTGTGTTGCTGTTTCAAAAGTTGAAATTCCAAGTTTGGAAAAAACACAAAAGATCTTGAGAAATCCAAATTACAACTGTAAATCTTAGGTTTCCTACCAACACAGTGTTCTGAATCCATAGTGAAATCAAAATTAGAAATTTACATTAGGACTGGGTTAAAAAAATCGGATTTAATCGATTTTGAATCGATTCCTTTACATTTTTGCAAAATCGATGTCTAGGGAATGAGATTGATTCATTTTATAGTGACCCGCGTGACGTTCACATTCAAATAAGCAGGAAAGATGCACTCAAGATTACTTCAAGCCAGACAGCTGTAAATATACCCAATAGGTTGACTGAAGACATTAACAAATGACCAGCAAACACCCTGTAGTCGTTACAGACAGCGCTGAAAATATGGTTTGTGCAGTGAAGATAATGCAGCTCATGAATGTCTGCTGTGTCCTGTCTGCTTGCTCGAGTGAGGCTTTACTTTTTTACTTTTCACAAACAAGTTTTGAGACAGTTTTGTTAACATCTCATGTTTAAACTGTCTGATTTACAAGTTTGCACTTTGTATTTAATGTGACAAATACATGAGTATTTTTAAAACACAGTTGGACCACTTTCATTATTGTAAAAATAGATCGAATCAAAATAAATTTAGAACTGTATGAATCAAAATCGAATTGATTCAGGACTTTGGCGAAAATACCCAGCCCTAGTTTACATATTGTACAGCTTTGTAAAAGTGGTAGAAACAGTAAAGTAAAAGCAGTATATCTCCACTTTAGATAAGGTGCATTGAATAAAATCTCTGACTCATACTGTAAACTATGTTTAAATATACAACTCGCTTAGAAATAAGTTGAGAAATCTGTTTTGCTAATGACTTTAGGTTTAGTTTCCTACTAATCATCAAATTCCACAATTTTTTTTTTTAACTTTGAAGTTAAACTGTGTTAAGTTGGATTATTTTTTTATATATAGATCAGAGTTCAGTCATTCACTCTGAGGGCTTTCAGTTTTCTCTCCTGCACTTCTCTCTTTGGAGGTTTATGACCCACCAAGAGTTAATGGGCTTTAAAAACTCCTCCTGCACCACAGCACATTCAGTTCTATTCTTCTTAGTAAGTAAATTGTAACAGAACTTTTTTCTGAGTACCACTTAAAACCAGCCAAAACATCATGAGTGTTTTACGGTTTGAGAGCCATTGACATATATGTAGGACTGAAACAATTAATTGGATTTGTTATGATTAATCAATTACTGAAATAATTGTCAACTGATTTCATTATCAATTTATTGTTAAATGAAGTATAGAGACTCTAAAACTTCCCTTTAGTTGACAGAGCGACCCAATTATAGCAGTAATTATTTCAAAATTGTACTAAAAATATCTAAAAATTTAGCATTTAGATAAAATCTGCCACTATGCTCTGTCCAGCACTCCTCAAGTGGAAAAGTTTTAGTTTCACTTGGTTTGATTTTGTAAATTATAATTTTTAAGGAACCTTTGGCTATCTGATTATTAACTGAATAAATAATCGACAGATTAATCGATTTGTAAAGTAATCGATAGTTGCAGCCCTACATATACGTTAATGTGAGCTAAACAGCTGAAGTGAAGAGTTGCTTTTTTCATTTACTTTGATTTTGCTGTTGTTTTTAAAAATAAGTCTTATAAAAGCTGATTTGTGTGTTTAAACAAGAGTTTGAATCACATCCAGAATTAAAGAAAAGTGTGATAATAAAACCCTTTTACATTATTCAGCGTTAGTTAACTGGAGCTAAATGTGCTGGACTTGCCTGGCAGGAGGTTTGTTCTCCCATGTGCTCCATCACTGTTCTGAAGGTTTCCTTTGAAGCTGTGCGCTGGACTGGGATCTCTCCCCCCACCCTCTCTCTGCCTTTTTTCCCCCCTCTGAAGCTATATTTTATAGCTTTCAATTCCAGGAAGTAGACTTAATCTTAATCAGTGCCACTTTGACGGCAGACTTTCTTTCCTGAAGCAGGCTGATGTGGGTGAAGCTATTGGTGTTGATCTTGAGGATTATGGTGAACCTCACTTGTTTACTGCGATTTATGAAGGATTCCTTCTAAACCTCGTACACATGTTCACACACAGCTGCAAAGGCCACTGCTCCTCATATTTGCCCTTGTTTCTATTTGAAGAAATATGGTAGATATATAGAGTCCCTAATAAAACCTTTAGTTTTTTTGTTTGTTTACCTTCTCACATTTGGTCAAGATGAAACTCCTAACTTCAATGTTGTGTAATGTTTTGGTTTTTGGTTAAAAGCACTATAAAATAAAGTAAATAGTGCTTGGTTTTAAAAGTCTATACAAAACAAATGTTGACATGTGTTTTGTGAATTTATATTTAGTTAACCTGAGACAATATTTCATTGATCCACCTTTTGCAGCTATATATCCTTTGGGATATATATTTACCAATGTTGGGCAACTATAATATAAATAATCAGCTCATTCTTCTTTGAAAAACAAGTCGAGGATTGTCAGATTTGCTGAAGAGAAATTAAAGAGTAATCTTCTGAAAATTCTTCCTACAAAGATTGATTTAAATTTAGGAATGGGCTTTGGTCAGATTGTTGAAGCACAAAAATATATTTTGAACCAAAATAATTTTGTTCTACCTTTGGCCAAAAATGTAATTGTCTTCATTTAAGCAAACCCTCCACCTAATCTCAAATCGTTTATGGCTTCAAACAAATTATCTTCCTTATTTACTCTGTATTTAGTTCCATCCATCGTCTCATAAATCTTGCTGAAACAAACCTTCCCCACAGCACATGTACCGCAACTTACTGCTATGTTTTGCTGTAGGGAGGATATTTTTAGGTAAAGGTGCAGTGGTCATTTTCATCCAAACATATCTTATTGTATGAGGGCCAATAAGTATCATTTTGGTCTCATCTGACCTAAGCTCCTCTAGACAGGACTTTTTTGACAGTTTCCTTCTATAATTAGGCTATCTTGTCGCTCTTCCATAGATTTGTGGAGTGTCAAAGTACTAGTTACCCTTCTCCTCCAGAGCTATGTTGAATCTCCTGGCATCTCCTCTTATTAATGCTCTCCTTGCCTTACCTGTCAAGTCATTTGGATTGCAGTGCACTCGGAGCTTCAAGATTATGCCATTGTCTTTCCATTAACAGGGCGTTGTCAGGTCAACAGAGATAATGTGGCATTATATTCATAATTAAATTATATTATATTTTTTGACTGATGTTTGTTTCACTGGATTTTTTGTAGATATCAAAGTAGAGAGGGCTGTTTACAAATAAACTCAACAATTTGTATTTTCTTTTAATATGAAAACCTTTTAATACCATACAGCCCCATCTCTCAACAATGCCCTACAGTTTATTGGTCATTCACAAGTACCACCATTATGATGCATTCAAAGTTTTGGTTTTAACCTGTAAAAAAGTGCAGCCAGGATAGAAGTTAAACTTTCCCCTTAAAAGGAGTTAGATGTTCATATGAATCAGATCTTTTTAGTTTGCTACCATAGCAGGAGTGGCTGTTGATGTTGGCAGGAAAATGGGCTTTAGTTGGGCTCTTCCTGCATGAAAAAGGTTTGACACTGGAACGGCAACACAATGGTAGGAAGCCACAGCTAGCTCGCTCAGAGAGGAAGTCTGTATGGAAATCTTTAGAGAAGTGGAGAAGCCTTGATGAGATTTGTAAACTAAAATGATTTGTTTGGGTGTTCGTCTATTGACTTAAAAATTTATTCCTGGTCTAGTTTCGATAAAAAAATGGAGCCAAAAATAACATTTTACATATATTTCGATTTCTGACTAGCTGAATTGTGTGTGGGTTTTTTTTTTATCCACTTTTTATATAAAGATGAACATAAAAGCATATTATTGTGGGAAAGCTGTTGAACATGAATAAAAAAACAAAAGAAAAAGGGTTACTTAATTAGTAAAGAGAACAGTCTTTTTTTCCTTTGTCAGAAAGTAGCTGACTACATAATCTGACTGGGCTTCTCTATTTTTCTTTACTGGCTAACTATTACATGTTATGAAGTTTAATCAAATCACTGAGAGGGAAGCACCATGTGAAGTCCAGCATCAAAGACATAATGACATTTTGAGGCCAATGGAATATTTTAAAAACTTTTCCATATCTGTTTGTTCCTTATGTGTTTTGTTTTTGGGGAAAAAACATTTTTAAAGAAGCTGAATTTCTTCTAAAATATCCCAGAGAGAAGAGAGACTATTTCTCTCTTAAAGATTTATTCAGATTTTTTGTCACTGTTACTTCATTTAGATCATTACGATAAACAGAATTGGATATCAGACAATAGTTTTTCCTTTGATGGTTATCTGGAAGCAACACAGTCCAGATTGAAAAAAGGATTGCACCATCTTTTAAAGGGATTGTGGAAGATTTTCACGAACTTTTTGAAAAGACCCACACCCTCCCCACGAAAACAAAATGTACATGCACAACCCTGTAACCGCTCCAGAGAT